TAACTAGGCTGAGGTTAATAATAGTTCATAAATATTAACTAATTAACTAGGTAGTTTGTGCTGTAATTAGAGGATGAAACAAGTGACTGCATCACTGGAAGCATTCCTGCCAAGACTGGAGTTGGGATCCCAGGGAATTATGAAGGAGTCTCCCCCACACAGAACATTTGCAGAGCAGGATAAAGCAGGTGGAATTGCTGATTCCCAGGAGGAAGAACAGGGAAGGAAATGTTGGAATCACTGTTTGGATGTGAGGCCCTGGGGATGCTGCTCAGGGAGCTCTCCCTCCCTCCAGCCCCGCTCTGGGGTGATTCTGGCAGAAGTCCAGACTAAAAGCTTTCAGTGCTACTAAAATTAAGCTGAGCTCATCTCAGCTAAAGTCTAATGACAAAACTGTCCTGTTGAAGGTTCATTTTTCATTTTAAGGACCTCAGAAACCCCAGAGCTCTGAGCTCCCTATTCCAGCAGCCACCTCAGAACCTCGGGAGACTTTCCTTTGTTTCCCTTAGAATCCCTTAATCTCCTTTCCTGATCACTCCACAAGGACTGCAGCTTTTGTTTAAACACACAGAGATTTCATGTGAATAAAAGGAGCCCTAAAAGTGCAAACACTGGGAATTTAGAAGCCACTTTTTAATTTTAGACCTTTAATTTTTTTGTCTTCAACACTTGGCACAGGTGCCAATGCCAATATCAGAAATACAGACAAGGGAGGTACAGCCTGAACTCTGCTTTGGAAAAGAGGAATTTTATGGACTAGGGGAGAAGGAGAGTTGTGTAGGCACCACAGTGACCTGCCTCATTTTTTGGGATGGGGATATTTCCAAGAGGTTCCCATGTAGATCCTCTGGTGCTGAAGCTGTTGATGTGGCCCTTGGGGACAGGTTTTGGGGCGATGCTGGTGGTGCTGGGGTGGCACTGGATGATCCTGGAGGGCTCTTCCCACCTTCATGATTCTGGCATACACCAAGCACTCCAAGGCTCTCTATCCTTGTTTCTTCCACTTCCTCAAAAATTAAACTGGACTGAATTTTCTTCTTTCAAATGTGTTTTTAATCATAAAACCTTTCTGTGCCCAAGGAAGGGCTGGATGTGGCACTCAGGGCTGGGGACAAAGCGGGCATCGGGCACAGCTGGGACTCCCTGGGCTGCGAGGGCTTTTCCAGCCTCAGGATCCCGGGATCCTGGAATTCATTCAGAATTCGAGGTCCCCAGCTGGTTTCTGAAGGAGAAACTGCAGCAAAGCTGAGCTGCTGTCTCCCCCCAGTGACAGCAGATTTTTCCTGTTCGAGTTGTGGCACACAGAATTCCCAAAGGTAAAATCACCTGGAAGCTGTGACAGCACAGGTCAAACTCCCCATGGAATATCAGGGAACAGGCACTGGTTCAGTTTGGGAAGGGACAGGACTGGACAAGACCAATTCTTATCCTGGAAATCACTGGATATTCCCCATGCCAAGATCTGGGAATATCTGAGCTCTGATGCTGCACTGAGATTTAGGAATGGCCTCATGCAGGAGGAAGGCTTGGGATAAATGGGATATTGGGAGAAAATTCCTGGCTGGGAGGGTGGGCAGGGGCTGGGATGGAATTGCCAGAGCAGCTGGGGCTGCCCCTGGATCCCTGGCAGTGCCCAAGGCCAGGCTGGACATTGGGAGCTCCTGGGACAGTGGGAGGTGTCCCTGCCTTGGCAGGGCTGGGAATGGGTGTTCCTTAAAATCCCTTCCACTCTGGGATTATAAAAATCAGGCTGGACCAGATTTGAAATCTTTTACCTGCAAAGATTTTTCTGATTTGGCTGCAGAGGCAAAAATGGATAATTTGCAGGATTTCTGAGGAGACTCCTCACAGCTCCTTCCCAGATACTCAGGGGCAAGAAAAGAGCATTAATTCCCTTCTTGCACATCTTTTCCAGGGATGATTTTAAGCCAGACTTGATTGCTTTTGGTGCCCCGTGGCTTTGGTGGTAAATTAAGTTATAAAGGGAGATTGTGTCCCTTTGTTTCTCCTCACAGAGCAGAAGTTGAAAAGATAAATTAAAATCCCCTCCTCATTATTATTTTTTTCTAGAAAAACTTACTCTGGAGAGCCTAAAAACTCCAGATTTGGGCAAATATACAAAATGAACCAGTGATTTCACAGAGCCAAGCCACTGGTGTCACCAGACCTGACAATTCCCTGGAGGTTTGGGGAGTGGCTCCAGCAGAATTCTCGTGTTTCCCTCAGGAAAGGTGGGCACCAGGCTGTTCTCACTGGCACCACAGGTATTGAATTCAATTCCACCCCAGCTCACCTTGGCATGCCCAGATGAGTGTTGGGAACAGAGGGAAAGTGCTGGATTCCCTGGGATTCTGGGAATTCTTGAGCCTGGCAGCCCTGGGGCTGCTGGAGCAGGGTATTTCTCTAGGATACAGCAGGATATTGCACAGCAGGATGTTTCTCTGTGCTGGGAATGGGTTTCTGCACTGCTTTTGTTCTCCAGTCTCCAAGGAGACAGCAGGAAAAGTGAGATTTTAACACCCCTGCAGTTCCAGGGAGTGATTCCAGCAGAGCTGGAGCCCCCTGAGCATTCCCTGAGCTCCCACTCAGGTGAGGCCCAGAGCTTCTCCAAGGGCTCTCCAGCCTCCTCTTCCCTCCTCTCCCCACTCCACTGGCAAATTTCTGCTTCTCCTTAAATCCCAGAAGGGTCTAGGAAGTGCTTTGGAATGGAAATGGGAATGTGAAGGCAAAGGCACCTGAGGCACTGCCACACCTGAGCCTTTATTGCTGTATTTCTGTATTTCTCTTGATTAACCTAAATTTGCTCTGGAGCCAGGCTGGGAGAGCTGGGGGTGCTCAGCTGGAGAGGAGAAGCTCCAGGGAGAGCTCAGAGCCCCTTGCAGGGCCTGAAGGGGCTCCAGGAGAGCTGCAGAGGGACTGGGGCCAAGGGCTGCAGGGCCAGGAGCCAGGGAATGGCTTGAGAGTAGGATTTGATGGGATCTTGGGCAGGAATTGTTCCCTGGCAGGGTGGGCAGGGGCTGGGATGGAATTGCCAGAGCAGCTGGGGCTGCCCCTGGATCCCTGGCAGTGCCCAAGGCCAGGCTGGACATTGGGAGCTCCTGGGACAGTGGGAGGTGGCCCTGCCATGGCTGGGGTGGCACTGGATGATCTTCAAGATTTCTTCCAACCCAAAGCATTCCAGGATTCCAAGCCCAAGTTCTCCAGGATCAGCCCAGGCAGGAAGAGCTGCCCCCAGGCTGCACAGAAAACAGAACCAAAGAGATTTCTCAGGATAAACCTCCTTCCATGGAACTTCCTTAAGGTGACACCGTGATTTCCACAGATCCAAGGAAGTCCTGGATGCACAAAGTGCCTGGAAAAGCTCCTCTCCTGGGTTTGTCCACCTGGATTCCATGCAGACCCCACAGCCTGACCCTTGCAGGAAGCAGCAGCAAAAGCTGCACTGAGCCTTCTCTTCTGCCTCTCCATGAACTTTGGAGCCTCCCAGGATGGATCCAGAGCATTTTCCTCCTCAGTTTATCCCTCCAGAGTGTTTTCCATCCCAGCCACCTCCTTGCAGCTGATCTTTCCCAAGTGCCTCCCCTACAGCTCCAACCCTTTGAGGAAGCAGCACCCAAGTTCATTTTTTTATTTTTAATTTTTTAAATAAAGGCTTTTTTATTGCATAAATAGAGGCTCAGATGCTTTGCTGCACATATAAAAACGGAGATAATTTAAGTGTCACCCTGAGGTTACACATCCTTCTTTTCCAGGAAGGCTTCATCCTTCTGGGAAAGGAATCCAAGTGTCAGGAACCTGCAGGGTGGGAAGACAGCAGTGAGAACAGCAGGCACAAGAGGGAGAGCACAGGGGCTCCAAAGGGGCACCTCTGGAGCTGTTCCCTGCTCCATGGGGGAATTCCTCCCTCTTAATCCCAGGATTTAGGAAGGACAGAGCCTCTGCTGGGCAGCTCTGGGGGCTGGGGAGGGAATTGCTGTGGAATCAGAGAGGTTTTAACACCGGTTGTTGTCACCTGCTGGGCACTGAGGTTTTGTGTGATGATCCTGGTGCAGAAATCCCTGGAGCTCTGGGGTTTGCCAGACAGAATTCCCTGGGATAAAAGTGCCCAGAATCCCAGGCTGCTTTGGGTTGGAAGGATCTTCAAGCTCATCCCACCCACCCCTGCCATGGCCAGGGACACCTCCCACTATCCCAGCTGGCTCCAAGCCCTGTCCAACCTTTCCCTTTCCAGGGAAGTGGCCAAAATCTGCCCCAAATCAAGTCCTGAATTTGCTGGGAACAGGAGACTGAAAAACCCTTTTGGTTTTTTAGTTTTTGGTTTTTTTTTTCCTGTGTAAACAAAAAAACCCACTTTGTTCCCATGGTTATTCCCAGGGCCTCATTTCTAGGCACAATTCCCAATTCTTAGGAATAAATGGAATAAAACAAATAAAACAGGGAATAAAACAAAGGGAATAAAACAGTGACAGGGTGGAAATAAAATCTAGGAAAGATTTTAAGAACTGAAAAGTGTCTTTAGAGAGGAGGGGATGACCTCAGAAAGGGAAAGAAGAATTTATTTCAATAAAGAGCAACATGACATCAAACTCCCACTGAGCTTCCAAAGGGCAGGCAGGAATAGAATTCCCATTTTGCTGCAGAACAGGGAGAAGTGAAGCAAAGTGCTCCAAAAAAATGACAAGCAAGGCAGGGAACAGAATCCAAGCAGCAGGCAGGACTCATTCTGCTCATGGATTTGCTCCAAGGAAGCAGGGATTGTTTCAGCTTTGGAAACAGAGGGGAGGAACTTGGGAATTTCAGAATGAAAATCCCAAATTTATGGAATTTTGTAATGTTAATTTTGCTCTTTCAAGCAGAAGAATGTGCATTTTTCTCAGGGAATTCTACATGGTGGATGTTCCATGGCATAACCTGTCCCTTTGGGAATTCCAGGTGTGGAATTTGCCCTTTCCAGCCAAACCACCCCCAAGCTGTCAATAATTCCACTCATCTAGAAAGGCTGATTATTTTTTCTCTTTATTTTGTGCCTTGAGATCCAGAGTTCTGATTGCAGCATCCTGCCTGCCTGCTCCCCTGCAGTTATTCCAAATTTATCCCCCCTCTTTGTGAATCAGGCATGGAAATCCAGGGAGATAAAAACAGAGAGGGAATATTGTGCTAAAATATCCTCAAACAGGACAGTGGTTCATGCAACTCCCACAAAGAATGAGTCCCAAATATTCCAAGAGCTCATCATATTCCAATTTCACATTCCAAATCAATCCCACTGGGAGGAACAAGGGCATCCTCAAAGGCCCAGGAACTGGGATCAATTCCACACCTGAGGGACTCTTCACTCATCCTTCTTCTCTGCTTCTGCTTTCAGCTTTTCTTCTCGTTCCCTCTTCAGTTTCTCCTCGATTTTCTTGCTCTGGTACATTTTGACTCCAGCAAAGGCCAAGCAAAGGATCAGTGTTTTAGCTGCCAAAATGTACATCAGCAGTGGGAAGTTCTCCAGAGCCTGGAATGTCAAAGAATCTATTTAGGCACTTCTGGAACACTTGGACAATTAAAAGTGAATTTATAGGGATGTTCTGCATCTTCTATTCCAATAGTAACACTCCTCTCTCTGCATGGTTTTTATTTCTGTGGGAAGTTAAACCAGGCAGAGCCAAAGAAAAATCCCCTTCCCTCAAGTCCTGAACTCCTTTTTACTCATTTCCCAGCAATATTTGTGCCATCTGGAGCTGAAAAAAGGGAAGAACTGAGTATTTCAGGGAAATTGTGAAAGTGGAAATGCTGCTGAAGGATCCTTACAAGTGATGGGATCCCCAGAAACACTCTAGGAAATCTTAATTTGTAGCAATTTTGTAATCAACCTGCTCAGATGTGGAAGGTGCAGATAAATGCCTTTAAACTGGGAGAAAAGTAAAATATCCACAGCTTCCAAGGGTTGTTGTACCAGTGCTGAATGCCTGGAACTGCAGAGAGTGTTTCAGTGCTATAAAAACAGGAACTTGGAGAGGAAAATCCAATGGAAATGGGAGGTGGGCAGTGAGGGAAGGGGTGGGATTGTTGGGGGGTCTGTGCAGGGCACTGGATGATCCCTGTCCCTTCCCATCAGGATATTCCATGGTTCTGTGGCAACTCTGTGAACTTGGAATTCACCCTGTTCCCCCAGGATCTCCCAAAGCTGTCAGGACACCATCAAAGCAGTGAATTTGGGCCAAGCCTTGTGTCCAGACACCAGCAGGGGGTTTGGAAAAACACCACCAGGCTCTGTCCATCTCCCCACATTGACAGCAGCAACAGCTCCGAGTCCAACACCAGGGCAGGGGAGGCAGGGCTGGGGGAAAGTTTAATTTAATGTGTTCAAATTGTTAATTACAGACTCATGGAATGCTTTGGATTGGAAGGCATTTCACAGCTCATCCAGTTCCACAGGCAGGGACACCTTCCACTAATCCCAGCTGCTCCCAATGTCCAGCCTGGCCTTGGGCACTGCCAGGGATCCAGGGGCAGCCCCAGCTGCTCTGGCAATTCCATCCCAGCCCCTGCCCACCCTGCCAGGGAACAATTCCTGCCCAAGATCCCAAGATCCAGCCCTGCCCTCTGCCCCTGGCAGCCATTCCCTGGCTCCTGGCCCTGCAGCCCTTGGCAATTGTCTCTCTCCAGCTTTCCTGGGGCTCCTTCAGGCCCTGCAAGGCCACCCTGAGCTCAGCCCAAAGCTTCTCCTGGCCAGGCTGAACAATGGCAGCTGGGCCAGCCTTTCCTGCCAGCAGAGCTGCTCCATCCCTCTGCTCATCCTGGAGCCTCCTCTGGGCTCTCTCCAGCAGCTCCATGCAGCTGCTCCAGCACTGTGGTGCCTGACACAAAACCCTGCAGAGCTCTCATGGCCCCAGAACCCCAAAAAATACAGAGAGAAATTCCCCTCCAGTTACAAAAGCAGCTGAGGGAAGAGCAGCCAGAGAAAGACCTGGAAAGAGGAAAGGTAGGAGAAGCAGGGATGAGCAGAGCTGTGGTGAATTTATGTGGAATTATTTCCCAACTGCAAATCCTGGAGCAAGCACGTCTGGCAAGGGAGGAAACAACAACAAATCCCCTGTCCCTGAGAGTGTGGGGGTCAAACAACCCTCCCCTGGGAGAGGAATCATCAGAACCCACCCAACACATCCCACATGGAAAGAGCAGCCATCCCTGCTTTGGGAATGTGCACCAGCCTCACCTTCCAGTTAAAGGCCACCATCTCAGCTGTGGGTGCCCCAGGACTGGGGGGTCACACTCCTGGAGGCACAGGGCAGGGCAGGAGCATCTTGGAGAAATGGGAAAGAAAGAAAGCAGAATGAACTCTTGGAGAAATAGAAATTGAAAGAGAATTAGGCAAGCTGCTGCTGAACTCACCCTGCCCCTCTGAGGGCTCGTCCCCAGCAACCCCCAGTGACCTCCAGGGCCTTTCTGGGGCTGAGTGACAGGAGCAGGACAGGGCTTTGACAGCCCCAGAGCAGGTGCTGGGGCTGGAATTCCACATCCTGACATGGAGAACACGGCTGCCTTTGGAAGCTGGAGCTGTGTGTGCTCCCCCTGCCCGGCTGTGCTGGGACCTGAGGGACACAGAGCCCCACAGGAGCTGCCTTGGGGGCTCTTTGGGGGTTTCTAAGCCCACCTGCTCTGTTTGGAGCCTGAACATCTAATTAATCCTCTAATTTATCAGTCCTCTGTGGTTGATTAATTTAATTCTCCATACTAACAGTTTATAAACATTGAGGTTAGCAGAGCAAGCACTCCCTGGAGCCCTGAGTGGTCACCAACCATTCCAGAGCTGAATTCCTGGGATGAAAAGCCTGCTGGAGGCTGCAACACACACAGCACTGCCCTGGGCTCTCTGCTCCAACTCTTCAGCTGCTGGAATCCAAATTAACCCCTGGAGGCCTTTCCTGTCCATGGAACAAGAGTGGGAAAGCAGGAGGGAACACTCCAGCATGGTGAAAAGCTGGGCTGAATAAATCAGCACCGCACCAGAGAGCTGCTGCTGAGCTTCCTGCAGAAATTAAATGTTCTTGCAGCTCCTTTCCTGCTCAGCTTCTGGGTAGATGTTCTGATTTCCCCAGCCAGAGGATCCTCTCCTCTCCACTTCCCTCTCACCCTGCTGAGACCCCTCTGGAAACATTCCAGCTCCTCCAGAGATCTCTGTGACAAAATCCAACTGTACCAGAGCCCTGGAGTGGCAGCCACCACAAAATTCCTGTTCATCAGTCACTATTTCTGTGCTGATCCTGACTGTGCAGCTCCTTATCCTGCTGGGGAAATGTCAGGGTGGTCATTACACCTCCAAAAGAAATGTATTTTTACTTCATGGAATCATGGAATGGTCTGGGTTGGAAGGAATCTTGAAGATCATCCAGTGCCATGTCAGGGACACCTTCCACTGTCCCAGCTGCTCCCAATGTCCAGCCTGGCCTTGGGCACTGCCAGGGATCCAGGGGCAGCCCCAGCTGCTCTGGCAATTCCATCCCAGCCCCTGCCCACCCTGCCAGGGAACAATTCCTGCCCAAAATTCCAAGATCCAGCCCTGCCCTCTGCCCCTGGCAGCCATTCCCCGGCTCCTGGCCCTGCAGCCCATGGCAATTGTCTCTCTCCATGTTTCATGTAACCCCAAAATGTTTCCCAGAGCTGACACCTGTGCTGCTGTGTCCCCACAGTGTCCTGTGCAGCTGGAACTGAGTGGGAATGATACTGCTCCCTCCAGGCTCTATCCCCACATCCACCAGTCTCCAGTGGCCAAGCACTTCTCCCCATCTCATCTCTTGGCTTTTCCAGTCTCCATCTGATCCCAGCCCTTATCAAATCCAGCTCAGCATTGAAAAAAGCAGGAGAAGCTGCAGCACAGGGAAGGGAGAACAAAGTGGGAAGAGTGGAGAAAATGGGAAAAGGGGCAGATTTTGCCCAGAGCAGCTGTGGCTGTCCCTGGATCCCTGGAAGTGTCCAAGGCCAGGCTGGACATTGGGGCTTGGAGCAGCCTGGGATTAATGGAAGGTGTCCCTGCCTGTGGAACTGGATGGGCTTTGAAATCCCTTCCAATCCAAACCATTCCAGGGTTCCCTTCACATTTAAAAAACACCATTTATGAGTGCTGAGGTCATCAGTGCAACAGCAAAAAGCTCTGACACTGCTTTTTCAAGGTTGGGATATCTTAAAAGCCCGCAGGCAAACAAACAGCTGGAATTCTGTGTTTGCCTTTCCTGAGGAGATAAGGCACAGATAGGAGCTGGGAACACATCCACAGGCAGGCATTGTTCCTTCCCCAGGAAAATGCAGGCAAACACAGGGCCTGGGCCCCACACAAGGGCACTGCTCCCTCCCCTCACCTGCAAGGAGCTCCCGTGTGCAGCCACGTGAGGAGGGACAGCAGCACCAGGCTCTGTCAGATATTCCCTGACAGCTGCTCCACAAGCTGGGATAAAATGGCACCAGGCTCACATGGATTGCCTGGGACTGCAGCTGCCAGGCTGCTCATTTCCAGCTTTCCTCTGGAGTTTTATTCCTTAACAAATGGGAGCTGGTTGTCCTGCCAGGCTGCTGTGGCCATGAGCAGAGCCATCCCACTGGGGCTGCCCCTGGATCCCTGGAAGTGTCCCAGGCCAGGCTGGATGGGGCTTGGAGCAGCCTGGGACAGTGGGAGGTGTCCCTGCCATGGCAGGGCTGGCACTGGAGGGGCTTTGAGGTCCCTCCCAACCCAAACCACTCTGGGATTTTGGGATTCTGGGATGTGTGCAGCCTTGTCCCAGGGAGTTGAAGCAGATCAGACTCCTGCAGATGAGAAAGAGGAGAGGGTGTGATCCCACCTCAGGGCTGTGCCAGCAATTCCCAATGAACCCCAAATCCTCTGGGATCCTCTGCATGCACAGCAGGCAGCAAGGTCGTGGCTCACTCCCTGCACCACATCCCAGAGCTTGGGATTAGCCCAAATTCCAGCCCCAGGATCTCTGCCCAGCTCTGTCTTGTGCAGCACAGCCCCACAGCTGGGCCCAAGGCATGAGGGAGGCCTGTGGAGCAGCAGGAATTGCATCCCAGCCCCTGGACTGCAGCTCCAGCCCTGCATAGGAACCCAGCCCAGGCTCTCAGGGCATTGTCTGCAGAGCAGGACAGCCCCGAGGCACCACATCCACACAACATCCTCAGCATCCAAACCCTCTGGAGGTGTTCTGGCCGCACATCTCGGCCTGCCTGCCAAGAGCTCCATCATTCCCACAAGACAGGGCTGGAGATATTCCTTTGGGGATTGCTGAACAACTCCAGCCACGAGGCCTTGGAAAGCCCTGAGCTACTGAGTGATCTGAGTGCACTTAAATGTGACATTTCTGAGCTAGAAAAGTGGTGTCACTCACCAAGGCCAGGGTGGATGGGACTCTGAGCAACCTGGAAGGTGTCCTTGCTCATGGCAGGCCTTGGAATGAAATGATCTTTAAAGTCCTTTCCAACCCAAACCTGATTCTGATTTTGGAACAACTCAAGGTTCCAAGCAACTCAAGCAACATCAAAATAATTTTAAAAAAATCAAGATCTTCATACCTGGTGAAGCAGAAATTAAAATATGAGTGATTCCTCTGGCAGCTTCTCACATACTCCAAACTCTGGAAAACAGGAACAGAGAAGATGGGGTGTTTTGTTCACATTGGTTGGATTAAAATCAAACCCAGAAATGCCAGGGGCACAACTCTGTTCCACCATGTCATCACCAGGGATCACAAAGATGATCCCAAGGTTGGAGCCTTTCTGCTCTGGGAACAGGCTGGGAGAACTGGGATTGTCCAGTCTGGAGAAAGGAAAATTCCAGGGAGACTTTAGAGCCCCTTCCAGTACTTAAGAGGGTTTATAAAAAGGAGTGAGAGGGACTTTTTATATGGGCAGAGAGTGCCAGGACAAGGGGCAATGGTTTTGAACTGCCAGAGGACAGGGCTGGATGGGATACTGGGGAGGAATTGTCCCCTGGGAGGGTGGGGGACCCTGGCACAGGGTGCCCAGAGCAGCTGGGGCTGCCCCTGATCCCAGCCCGGCTCTGTCCTGGGCTGGAGAACAAGGAAGGGACTGGGGAACAAGGACAGAGGGTGGAAAGCAAGAAAAGCAGGGGATGGAGAGCAAGGAAAGGGGACGGAGAACAAGGAAAGGGGATGGAGAGCAAGGAAAGGGGACGGAGAACAAGGAAAGGGGACGGAGAACAAGGAAAGGGGATGGAGAGCAAGAAAAGGGGATGGAGAGCAAGGAAAGGGGATGGAGAACAAGGAAAGGGGATGGAGAGCACGGAAAGGGGATGGAGAGCAAGGAAAGGGGATGGAGAGCACGGAAAGGGGATGGAGAGCACGGAAAGGGGATGGAGAATAAGGAAGGGGGCTGGAGAACAAGGGGGGGATGTCTTAAGAATAAGGAGGGGGGGGCTGAAGGGAAAGGAGGG